CTTCATTTAAAGATGGTGACAAAATCATCAGGCCAAGATTATCACTTAATAACACTATTTAATCATGCAAGGGAAAAAAACTTGTAAAGCATTATACTTCAACAGTGGCTGCTGTCCTCTAACTAATCAAGTTTGGGCCTCTTTATTCTATTTCTTCTTTCAAAATTAACATGGCAGAAGAAAGTTTGGTGATCTTCATGCATGGAGTACACCCAGAAAACAGAATTTTGGGGTAAAAATTTTTACAGTATTAAAGCTAAAATCACAATAATGATATTTTTGGGATACTGTCTTCTCATGTATGTTGATACAATCAAAGTAACGTCATCATATTAAAACTGCATCACGTCTTTTACAATAGCAAGACTGAATTAAAAGTGAGTTGCTTTGTTTGTTGCTGATTTTAATTGTCATGATAAAAATTAATTCCTAACATACAGTAAAATTAGTCCTGTCAGCCCTATTTTGAGAGACATCAAAACCTAGTCCTTGAAGAAATAAAGGCATTAGGTGTCAGAAGCTACACTAGCAAGGTTCCTTCTGTGTCCCAGTCAGAGGACTTTATTATAAAGAGACTCCAGCAACTGAAGCTGTGACACTATTAGTTGTTACCACAAATCTTCCTCCAACCTACAACAATGTCAAAACAACTCAGAAGGCTGGCATGCAGAAATGAATTTCATTCATATCCAACAATTTCACTCATATTCAGCAGCACTTGTTTAAAATAGAACAATGAGTGTAACAAGTCTGACATTTAATTTAAGACTACTAAAAGGGATTTCACCCACCAAAATGATCCAGTGATGTATTTTGGCATATCCAAGCTGAACAAAAGAGGGCAGTGTGACAAGTTCAGATACAAATGCTACTAATGAAACAAGTGATTTTCCTAACACTCCAGATTTGTAAAAGAATCAAATTAATGCTATGGAAAGCAAACACTAAAATGTTCACGTCAGAACAAGCAGAGACAAAACTGCAGAAAGGACCTCATCAACAACAGTATGCTCTCCTTCTGGAGATCTACCACACTCCAGCTTTATCCATCTTCATACAACACTACAGGTATGTAAGGTAAAAGAATTCTTCCCCCACAAAAGGTGAGCCTAACATGAGCAACAAAATGGGCAGGTTAAGCCCTGTCCTAGCTGTGGATTTGCTGCACTGAATGCAGGACATTTTACTTGATGGTTTATGCTCACTCAGAACTTTCTATACATGTAATCAGAGATGAAAATTGATGAAGGATACTGTTAAAGAATAGTGAATTAAATAAAAGCATCAGAGCTCTGAAGTGGGAAAAGGCCAGAGAGCAAGTTCTTTACTGCACATTACTTCAGTTAATCTTCCTTGGTTTTAAAGTTTAAAAAAAAAAAAAAAAAAAATCAAGACATGGGAAATCTGCTAATCCAAATAAACTCATCAAACAATTAAGACTAATAGAACAAATACCATCTGACGGTTTGAGCTCAACAGTCAAACTCTCACAGCTGGGAAAAAAATGCTTGTTAGTGGCCAGCCTACCATCAGTCTGCCGGTATCAAGTCCAAATTAGTCCCACAGATTACTACCACCCCAAGTCTGTCTTAATAAGCACACCAAAACTGAACTTGGTCTGAGCCACTAATTTTTTTATAATCTGAAGAAAAAAGTAGACAAACCTGAAATGCTTCCTAAAGCATGGGAAAACAGTTGTGCCATAGATGAAGCACATAAAATTCAGAGTCAAATATAACATTTCAAGATGGAAAAAAGTCTTCCACAGGCTGCATTCTGGTGAAAGCTGGGCAAACTCAGCTGAAATAATGCAAGTGATTTTGACCACTACAACACTGTTAATGTGGAATGAGAAATGGCACACTAGTACTGAAAAGAAAATAAAGCCCCCCAGTCTTTGATCAGCTCCAAGAATAAGCTCTACAGATCCCAAAAAAGTAGTCTCTAGACAAAAGGCTTAGCAGGGGAAAGCCCATGCCACCTCTCCTGGAATTCTACTACTGCAAAGAATAATTATACATAAGGAAAATAGAAATAAGAAAGATTACCTTTGACCAATAGTTGTTACCATCTGAAGGCTGTTCAGTGGCCTATGTGATCCAGTTCTCAGTGGACTAGTGTCCATATCACAAAACCCAACACCACAAATGGTACTAACTGGCAACCTTGTTGGCAGTCTCACCAGAGAGGCCAAGAATTGAATGAGCATGGAGACTGAATCCCCTCTCATCCCTAGAAGTGGTCCCTTCAGGTCAGGGTTGAGGCACATTGGTGGGGCAGTCTGGGGGAAGCTTGCACTCCCGCTGCCTGTGCTGTACCTGTTCTGTGGATAAAAAGAGGGCTTCAGTCTCCACGGCTGTCAATCCAGGTCCTTTCACACACAGGTGAACTAAAGTCATACAAGAGTTTGCTTTGCTCTTTGTTTGTTTTAAAGAGGGACGGATTACCTTATCCCAAGCGCAATCCTTAAAAAAGCAGCCAGACAGTTCATAGAAAGGAAGAGTCAAACATCACATCTTATTCATTGATAAAACCAGAATTAAGGAACATTTGGCAGCTTCCCCCACATACCTTCTGCGTTGTCGTGTTTGTTGTCTGTGTTGAGGGCTTAGTGAAGGTTATTTTCACAGGCGACATGTGTGGTGGCAAGGAGTTGGCAATGCTCTGCATTATATTACTCATCTTGGGGCTGCCACTTACAGGCACCGTGATAGTTTTAGTGACAGGAGTCACTGCCTTCGGGACTTCTTTCAGGAGAACAGGGGAAGAACTAGAAGAATTCGTTCGCCGTCTTTTGCGGGGCTTTTCGTCATCGTCTGAGCAGCTGACACCTGGAAGAAAGGTACTTTTCCTAAATGACATTTTCCCCATCTGCAGCTCTCGGTGTTTTCTAAATTCAGCCGTGCCACATTATATCCGTTTTCAAATAAGGTATGAAGAAATACAGGACAAATTACATCTTATGGCCACAACTAACCTGTGTCACAGCACAGATGTCTTAGTCCTTGCTACAGACCACACTTACAGTGACAGGAAGCAAAGAAACGCACCCTCCAAAAAACCACATTATTCAGTTCCTGGGGTTATTTCATTCAGTTGAAGAGATTAAAACAAATAAGGGCCAGCACAGAGATTTCATTCTGCCTCCAGAAGTTTGACTACACATACAAGGGTGTTGGGATAATGTCAGTTATCAGTAATTTCAGTTTAAAACTTTACACAACATTGTTGGTTTTGTTTATAGCCACCAGACTACTGGAGGTCATCATCCTGTAGTCTTCTCTGATTTCAAACTCCGTACCTACTTTCATGCCATGCTTAACATTACAGCACCCTTTCACACCAACACGGCGCCCTGAGATGCTTTTTTGTTTGTGTTTGTTTTTTTTTTTCATATCATAGTTTTAAGTATGAAGGTCAAACCTCACTTTATCAGTTTCTGCCTTGTTTGGTGCATTTTGTGCACCAGATATAAACCAGCACCTAACACACAATCATGATAAATAACAGAAGTTCTGCCTCAAAGGAGATCATTATTCCTCAAAATCATCTGCTGCACATGTAGAAAAAACAAGTCTGCTGCAATATTCAGCTGAGCAAGTGATAACCCTTTCTGCAGATCACCAGATCTTAAATCCATACAAAACTTAGGCAAAAGGTTCATCAGTTGGTATATGTTACAGAAAGACACAGCTTAATTAGTTTGAAAATTTCCTGCAGCTATCTGGTAGCATTTATGTTTACCATATTAGTCAGTATTAAAAAACTAAAACACAGATATATGCAGAAGAGACACAAACCTCTTAAACAAAACAAGACTGAGATGATGTTCTGTATGCCTGGGGCTTACAGACAAAAAATGCTGTCAGAGTAAGAAGCACACCTGCTGGTAACCCAGGCAAACTTAGTTGGCAGTCAATCTCTAATTAGGGTTAAGATCTAATTGCGGTCAATCTCTCATTAAAAGAATTAAATATTCTGGCATTCGAAAAGTGAAGATGAAGGAATTAATGTGGACAAGAAAGTGCCCAGTAGCAGAGCAAGTGATTTCTGAAAAATGGGATTTTTTCCTAACACACACAAAAGTCAGGAAACAGAACTAGAGAAGAGAAGCAAAGGTTCTATTTTAAGTTTGCTTTGAACTAAAAAAAAATAAAATTAAGTTTTAGCTGGCTGTAGCAGTACTGATGAAGTGTGAAATAATGAGTCTGGATTTCAAAGCTCTAATCAACAATACCCTTTATGGCCCTGAACAAGCCTAGTGGCAATTTCCACCTATAAAGCAGAGATTTGGTTACATGACTTTAAGGTCTATTATGAACAGGCTTTTAATTATTACTGTGAGTGCACTACACAAACTTCTCACTGTGAGGTCACTGATCACATTGTAACAGTGCAGGAATTTCAGAAGCTTAAAACCCATTTGAATCAAAAAATCCACATGCAGCTAGACTGTTCGGACACATTATTTTGGTGGAGCACCAAGAAATACTGAAGAGAAAGCTATTTATTTGTGGTCCTCATCCACAAAAAACCAACACCACCACCACCACCAAAAAAACACCACCAACCACACCACCCCAAAGCCAACACAGAAGTAAAAAATTAAGATACAACTAGCAGAACATTATTTTCTGTTAAGTACAGATCATTTCATCTCCTGTTTTCACTGCTGGGGTTCTGTAAAAACATTTATTCCTATAATTTCATGTTAGAAACTGCATTTGCACAGTTTTCCACAGGCATTTGGCTAAAAGGTAACACAGCTCAACTATAACTCACACTTGACAAGCAAGGAAGCAGAGGCACGGAGAGGTTAATGGCTCAATCAGACTGTCACTTGGGTGAGGTCACACAACAGATCAGCAGCAAAGTCACGACTGCAACTCAGGCCTCCTGAGTTCGCTCTTAACCAGATTTATGTAAACTAACATGCCTGATACAAAAACATTCTGAAAGACACACAATTCTTTAATAAAAAAAGAACAAAATAAAGCTTGTGAATGGGGAAAAAATAAAATCTAGGGATGGATGGAATGAGAACCTTCCCTCCCTCCATCATGTGTCTAGACTGGTTTTACACTCATTACCATGTAATAATTCAAGTGAGGTCTGAATTAAATTTTTAAAAGGTTAAGAACATTTTCCCTCTGAATCTCTAAACTAAAACTGAGTGATTAGTGCATTAAATCAGAAAAATGAAAAATATTAATGTACTGGGTTCTCTGGGTTGATGTAACTATTAAAGGTGGTGGTTTGCAAGTAACTATTTATGTACAGTGTGACATTTCTGCCTAGCTAGAAGTTTATAGAAACGTGCATATAGAATAAAGATTAATGTTTTTTTAAGATTAAAGGCATCCACATAAAGCATAAAAATAGCACTTAGCAACTTCATACTTAATCTTTATCACCTGCATTTTGATAGGCACCAAATAAGAGCTGAAGGAAACATTTCTCATCTTTAGTTCAATAAAACTACCTTCGATAAATTGGGCATATATGGGGATGTACTCTGCTTTTAGAACTAGTTCATTTATTAGCCAAAGAAAGAAGGTGGTGGGACAAAAAATAAAGAGACTGTTTCTAGCCACTATATCCTGGATTTCTAAACTTAAACACACAAAGATGGCTATCTGGTGGGATTCTGTATGTAGTTTTCAGAGCTGCCCAGGAATGCAAGCCTAAGATACACTTCCAAATAAATCACAGAATGGCCAGATATAGTTAATGTAAGCATAGAAATGCCTGCCATAAGGCTGTGTTCTAAAAAGTTTAGGTCAACTGTGAAAGTGGAAAGGAGGGACCGGACCTATTCTAACTCCAAAAAGTGACTACTGTGCATTATTTAAAGCAGAAGGAAGAGGGCAGTCCTGTGCAGCAGCAACCAGCAGAACCAACTTAAAGACAAGTTCTGACCAAGCTGGATCAGAAATCCACTGACACCACTGACACACAGCAATTCCTGTGTTTTATTTTCAAAATACTTTTCACTCTTGCCCTTGCCATTCCT